TAAGGGCATAGATCAGGGATTAGCATAAGCGGTTAGATTAAGGAGTTAGATTGACAGAATAGAATCAGCGGTCAGATTTAGGGGTAGAATAAGGGTTAGATTAAGGGATACAATAAGGGGTTAGATTAAAGGGATAGAATAAGGGGATAGATTCAGGGGCTAGAATAAGGTGATAGAATAACGGGTTAGAATAAGGGGTTAGATTAAGGGGATATATATAGATTTAGGGGTTAGAATAAGGGGTTAGGTTAAAGGGTTAGAATAAAGGGATAGATTAAGGATAGAATAAGGGGATAGAATAATGGTTAGATTAAGGGATAAAATAAGGGGATAGATTAAGGGGATACAATAAGGGGATAGAATAAGAGGATAGAATAAGGGGTTAAACAAGGGGTTGGATTAAGGTTATAGATTAAGGGGATAGGATAAGGTGATATATATAGATTAAGGAGTTAGAATAAGGGGTGAGATTAAGGGGTTAGATTAAGGAATAGAATAAGGGGATAGAATAAGGGTTAGATTCAGGGGATAAAATAAGGAGATATGTATAGTTTAAGGAGTTAGAATAAGAGTTTAGAATCAGGGGTTACATTAAAAGCATAGAATAAAGGGATAGAATAAGAGTTAGATTAAGGGATAGAATAAGGCGTTAGATTAAGGGGATAAATTAAGGGGATAGAAAAGGGAATATATTAAGGGATAGAATAAGGGATAGATTAAGGAATAGAATAAGGGTTGAATTAAGGGATAGAATAAGGGGATATATATAGATTAAGGAATTAGAATAAGGGGTCAGATTAAACGGATAGAATAAGGGGATAGATTAAGGATTAGATTAAGGGGTAGAATAAGGGGTTAGATTAAGGGGATAAAATAAGGGGTTAAAATAAGGGGATAGAATAAAGGGTTAGATTAAAGGGATAGAATAAGGGGATAGATTAAGAGGACAGAATAAGCGGATATATATAGATTAAGGAGATAGAATAAGGGGTTAGATTAAGGTGATAGATTCAGGAGATATATATAGATTAAGGGATTAGAATAAGGAGTTAGATTAAGGGGCTATATATAGATTAAGGAGTTAGAATAAGGGGTTAGATTAAGGGGATAGATATAGATTAAAGTGTTAGAATAAGGCGGCAGATATAGGTCAGTGAATCGTTTTGTAAGTAGCTGTGGAAAACCTATACAAGATTTTCGAAGTCTCGGAAACCTCAACTGGGTTTCTGGGCCCTGAGGTTTTTTGATTGCGTTGAAGCGTTTCCGAGAGCTCGGAAACCCTTTCCCGGAAACCTATAAAGGGTTTCATATAGTGACAAACCCGGAAACCCTCTATAGGTTTCCAAGAGTACCTTTTTTTTTTAGAGTGTACGCTATGCTATAAATGCGTCTAGGCTAATTTGTTATATAGCATCTAAATGAGTTGAAGCTTTGAGCTTGATAGCTTTTGATAATGACTCTGTTATGTCCTACTTTTTTATTAAGGGCAAAAATAAGTTCGATTACATAGAACATAATCCGTTTTCTTTTTATTTAAAATCAACCAACTTATAACAGTATAAACATGTATATATATATATACCAGAAGAAAAAGAGAGAAACAAGAAAGAGAGTGATATAACTGAAGAAAATAAAATACATATATGTCAGATCATAACAGACTCATTGAAAGTACCTAGAAATTCAAAAACTAATTTGACCAATGCATTGGTTCTTTGGTCTTCTTATAAATATTCTCGCGTGAAACTGATTAAAGATGCCAATTGTTCGACCTGGATAGCCTTTGGTGCAATTTTATACAAAAAAAAAAATTATTTCTTCAGAATAAGCATTCTTTATCGAAAACTCCAGATGCTGAGCTTTTCAGAAAACTCAGCATTTGATAATTGGTATCGTAAAATTAAAGTATTATAAAGTACATTAAAGTACGTTAAATTCATGAAGTATGAAATATTATGTATCTCTCCTTGCGGTAAATCTACAATGTATTCTATTAAACCTTCGAAATATAGGGGAATCCTGTTATGGATCTACTCTGGCAAAAAATATTTGAACATACTTTTATTAGCCTGAGAATCAGTATCAAGTCTTGATTATTTTTCGTGAGTTTATTATGCTTTTTATAAAAATTCAATTTTTTCATACCTGGGATCCCTCAGTTACTGCAAAAACGCTGTGATCGACATCTTGTCAGAAGTTTTTATAGTTCGATCGAGCTAAGTCTGCTGATTACAGACATCACCTTATTTTTTTAAAGCTCATCAGATAATAAGAAAGATTTGTAGAACTCTATGGAAGCCTGAAAAACTAGTTTTTGACCTACAAGTTCACTAAAATCCAAATTAGGTTCATCGAAACCAAGAAAATTTGATGCAAAAATCTTTTTTTACCAGATTCTATAAGAATCTCTTAGATTTTTCATTTTTTTCTGTTGATAAATTCTAAGCATCACTCTAATTGGGTTCTATTATATCTGGTAATGAATTTTGGGTCTTAGGAAGATATAGTATCTATGAGTGGACCTGCTTCATCTTTTTACCGAATATTAATTCATTCTTCGTTTTCCATTGATAGCATTTTCAACTAAAAGTTCCATGTTTGATAGAAATGACTCCTTTTGATTTGAGAAAATGCTATATTTTGGATCAGGGTGGAAACTTCAATTGATGTATTGCGTACTTTGAAAATTTTTCTGCAAGTTCTGTTTTGAGCTAAAATATTTGCACACGATCCCTTCATGGATATAAGGAAAGAAAAAAAGAATTTTCAGTAGAAAAACGTTTGCTAGCTGAAAAATAGTCTTGAACCTATATACACTGTTATTTCAAAATCAAACCAGAGGTGTCCGAACATCTCAATAATTGCATTAGTGAAATCCATATTTCCTTATATCCACAAATTTGCCAAGCGTAAAAATTTTCACCGAAAAAATGATCTATCAGAAAAAAATCAGAAATACGTATGTGCTGGCTCATCTTTGAATGCTGATTTCAAATTTGATATTGTTCTCAAGTCAAGTACGGTCACTGCTACTACGAAGCCATGCAATAATAATGGAGAAGAGCACACACCATCACACTAATTAATACTTAGCTAATTAAAAACGTTTCTTCCATAGATACGATAGCGGCTTTACAATTAGAATTTCCATAGGATCTTGTTGGTTAGTCAGATCCGATCAGATCAAGTCGAATTCATTCAACTGACTTAATTTGCAAAGAATAATAGTGTCTATCTTTAAGTTGCCGACTGACTTGTATCAAAGACGATTGCTTATGAATTTGAGTTTCTTACTTTTCATTTTATCATTACTATTTCGTATATAGTGCTTTTCAGTGCAATACTTTAAAATTTTATTGAAGATATCTGATGATTGTTGCAATGTTTTTAATAGATAACATGAAATGCGTTGACGAAATTAAACCCTACATTTCTTGGAAAAACAAACATTTGAATCAAAGCATATCTATTCTAATTAGAATTATTTCGACTTGATCGATTGCTGATAATCAAGAGTGAGAAATAGCAGATTGATTTGTATGATATGTAAATAGGGCGATCTATTTTCATTTTATTTGTGATACTTGAGTCTTCTAAAAAGTCTCTTGGGCACGAACGAAATCGTTTAGGCTTGCTTGTATACATTTCACATCCTACACTCCATAGCCACGATAGCAATGGCCATTACGTGCTTTTGCATAGGTAGTTTTGATATTTGAATCATTTGCATGAAAATATAAGCTACGATAAAACTGATGCGCTTTTTACAATGCCGCTATCAAATGTATATCTGAATTTTTTTCTCCTGACAGCAAAGTATGAACTTGGCTCTATACATATCTTATCTTTGTACGTTTATGTCGTTTGCTGAAAAGACTTGCATTTCAACCATGCTAATATCAAGTGCTATTACGCAGTTGTAAATTCTTTCTTTTCTTCAACTCTCGATAGCATCGAATACAGCTTTATCACTTCATGAAAATAGTGGTCCTGATGTTCATCGAAATGTTGTTAGTTATTTTGATAGAAGAAGATATCGAAATAATACCACATTTTATATATTCGCCAGATCTTGCATCTTATGACTTTTGCCTGAATGATTATATCAAAAGTAGTTTGACTGAGTACACAAACGACGAATTACTAGCTCAGGAAGTTTCTAAGGTAGTGAAGTATATTCTAGCAAGAGTTTTAAAAACAACTTCGATAAACTATTAGAAAAGATAGAACTTTGTATAAATACTAATGTTGCTTATTTTGAACATTGAATAAAATAAAACTAAAAGTATTTTTTGCTTTTCATATTCATCTTTGATGTTATCAAAATTTTATGTGGGTCATAGATGCTATAGACTTCATCTAAACGGATGTCAGAATTAAATCTAACAAAGAATTGTTACATAGATTATTATAGATGAGGCATTATACTATGTATTCCATACTATGGGTTATTTAATTTCAATCTGAATTTAAACAGAAAAAAGAGCACTTGATTTCAAATTGAAATAAGGGACTAAGGGACTATTAGAGGTCTGATGTTCGACCTTTTCCTTTATTTATTTTCAAATTCCAAAAATGTTCTCACACACACGTACATATATATCACCCCACACACTCTGCACTTGTCTACATATATATCTCTAACTTCAAAGAGAAAAAAAAACATACATATATATATGACTATGTCCAGGGTTCAAAACGTAAGGACAAAATAGAATAAAGAAAAATAATGACCTGAGATATATCATATCAAAGAAATAGCTAACAAGAAGAAAAGAGAAACGAAAAAGAAAAATAGAATATACTTCCAGGATTATCCTCTAACAGTCGACCCCCCAAAAATAAAATGTGTGTCCGCACACATAACAAACAAATAACAAAAGATGGAAAAGAAAACGAGAAACAACAGACCGAAAGAAAAGAAAACGAAATAACGTTCATAACAAAAAACGAAAACACACACATGTTCAACAAAAAAAAAATATATATATATAAATCGATTACTTGTATAGACGATGGTAATGTTGTTTTGTAAACATCCGATCATGTAATAATCGTTCTACTTCGTCCACTGTTGCCTGATCTTTAAGTCCAATACATAATTCATGTCGGATCACATTGACATTAAGAGTATAAATATTCATTGATTTTAATATAGGTTTAATTTGTTTAGGCCTAAATAAATGATAAACTCGTCGAATAACTTTAAATCGATAACGGTTTGCACGATGACGAAGATTTGTTTTTCGATTTCGTATTTGTTTTTTTGTTAATGTTGTTGTTGTATCTAAATGATGGAAATTTCTTACCTGATTCGGTTCATTTCTTACATGAACTGTCATCTGTTGAGGTGATGACTGTTCATTACGATGTTGTTGTATAAGTCGATGACCTGGTTCATGATGAAAATGAAGCGTCATAATTTCAGGTATAGATTGTGTATCTATATCATCATCAGGTTGAAATTCAATAACATCTGGTTCAACATATATTGTATTACTATTAAGTGATTCATAAATTTGATTGTCTGAAAAATTTCCATGAGGTCCTAAAATAGTATTAAAACTTTCGATTTGATTAAATATACTTATTTGTTGAGTTGGTTCAAGGTCTTCACGTTGTTGATATGATAATTTATCTTCATTAATTTCTTCTAGTTCATCAGTTACATGAACTATTAATTCTTCATATGTTGATGGTATATCAATTGATAATTCTTGTTGTAAATCAATATTATCTTCATCTTCAGAAATATCTTCATAATCATTAGTTGCTAAAAATTTTATTAAATTTAATTTGTACGATA